CCTGAAACAAAGCCGCGGATTCGTCCACGCCCGACTAAGACATCATTGGTCAAGTGGTGATCACGTGACGCACGATAGAGGCTGTCGTTGCCCATCCAGAGTGTAGGTATGAGAAGCTGCTACGAAGAACTGGGGAAGGCAGTTCACGCCCTCTGAAATATGGTGAGAAGGTGGGAGTGAGGAAATGTTCCCAAAAATGGAAAAAAGAGGAAATTCCTAACCAGAGAGGTGGATATGTATTTAGAATTATCGAGGAAACCCCGACGCCGACAGACCCACCCCGGTTTTGGTCGGCGTCCATATAAGCGAAGCCACAACGAGCAGAGATCAGTTCCAGTGAGTTCCAGTTCCAATTTCAGTTTGAGTTGGAGTTGCAGCGAAGAGTCAGTCTCCAGTTGAAGCCGCCTCGCAGATAGCTGACAAGATTTACGCAAATTCCGGACTCCTTTTCAACCCAAGAACAATTATTTTGAAGAGCGACTTAGATCCAGACCACCACAATCAGTTTTTTTTTCGACATTCGTCCAAAGACACACCGAAACACCAATTTCTTAGAGAGCAAACAACTTGAAGCGTTAAAACTTGCCGAACGGAAAACGACGTGTCACAATCCATAGAACGGGTCGGGAGATAGATGCAGTCCTATGTATCGAACAATTAGACATAAAGTTTGTTACCTTTTTCTTTGATACTTTTGAGTTTTCATTTTATTTTCTTTTATGCATATTTGTGTGGTATCACCCCCGTTGAACTCGGTTTGCATTACGCCCCCAACCACTGTTTGATCTCGTCTGCCTAAGATCAATTCACAACGTGGGTAGGCAAACTGGGGATCAATGCATTTACCTTGGTAACCAGGCGTTGGAAGCGAGTTGGGAACGACGAGGCTGATATCAAATCTAACCAGATTCCCACCCGAATCACCAAAAGGTTAGAACGTCACATTTGGGTGCCGCGACCGATACCAAGCCAGTTGGTCGTCACAGGACGAGACAACACGACTGACGCGACAGGCGGACGTCACGTTTGGAATAGCGACAACCGAACGGAGCAGCGAGGAGCGAATAGCTGGCGCCGCGGCGAGGACGTCAGAATTGGTGCTGTTTAGGGACGTCACAGTTGGTGCCGTGGTAGACCAGAATAGAACGTCACAGTTGGCGCTGCGACCAGGGGACGACGTCACATATATATGTCTGTATATATTATTGATGGTAATAAAAAAATTGATTCCCCTTTATGGCCATATTACAATTTCTTGTTTGTTTACCAAATTACGATTCTGAAAGAAACCAACTATTCTCCCCTCAGCAATGGGTTAATTAGTAAAACTTATATCACTAAGCCCTTATTATTTAAAAAAAAAATATTTATTCTAGAAAATATCTTCTGGCTTTAAATAACCTGAAAATGGTTGATAAGCCGTAGAAAACAAATCAATCAATAAATAAAAGGCTGATTAGTTATATAGACATTATTTATATTTATTTGCATTGTCTGGGATATAAATGCACAGAAATTAACGTGGCCTCAAAGTGTAATATAAAATTGATCCACGTTTATATGCACATGATAATTTCTTTATTAATGTCGTCCGGACGAGCTAACTTTGCGTAACTTTTTCATCATTTTTTCTTTTTTTCTTTTTTCATTTTTTCAGTGCTTATATATATATATATATATATATATATATATATATATATATATATATGTGTGTGTGTGTGTGTGTGTGTGTGTGTGTGTGTGTGTATATCATTGATGACAATAAAAAATTGATTCCCCTTTATGCCCGTATTACAATTTCTTGTTTGTTTACCAAATTTCGATTTTGAAAGAATCCAACCATTCTTCCCTCAGCAATGGGTTAATTAGTAAAACTTATATCACTAACCCCTTATTATTTCAAAAAACAAAAATTCTTAGTCTAGAAAATATCTTCTGTATTTAAATAACCTGAAAAGGGTTGATAAGCCGTAAAAAAACGAATCACTCAATCAATGAAAAGCTAATTAGTTATACAGTCATTATTTATATTTATTTCCATTGTCTGAGATATAAATGTACAGAAATTAACTTGGCCTCAAAGTGAGGGATCAGTTTCTTTATTCATTGTAAGATAAAATTAATCCACATTTATATTCATATGGTAATTTCTTGTTTGTTTATCAAATTCTGATTAGGCATGAATCCACTTCTCCTCCAACTATGGGTTAATTAGTAAGGCTTGTGTAACTAAATGTATTTGTTATTAAAAATATTAAAAAAAAATCTTACTGTCTGAAAATATTTTCTAGCTTAAAATAACCTGAAATATTTGAGAAACCGTAGAAAACTACTCAACGAATGAATCATTTTCAGAAATCAACCTTCTCATTCAAACCATTTCCTTCCTTCATAATATTTTATAATTCCCACCCAAGAAGATATTATTCTAGTTATATTCTATTTCAGGATTTATAATATAAACAGAATGAAAAACTAATCAATTTATTTTCAATACGTACTTCAATTAACATCTCAAACCCTAGCACATAAGAATCTTATTTCCAATAACAATTCCTCCGAAGAAAATATACCGTTTTAGAGAATGGCGATTTCTGAGATTACGTGCAACGATTATATTTTTCAGTGGACGTCACCAGCATCCATTATAAACTCGTATTAAACGCTGAGAAAAAAAATTGAGCTTAGTTTGTACGCATTTATGCGAAAAATGCTCCACTAAAATGATGGCGCCCTGTAATATCGATGATTCATGCTGCAATCACAGCGTCTGGGCGGTGACAGTCCTCCTCTGGCTGTCGAGCACGCCGTTCCCACTTGTGTTAAGTGATATTGATTAAATTTCCCCCAGTTTTATAAGCTAGTCAAGTGGTGAACCGACGCCATATTGACAAACGTGCTGGCAGGGTGGTTGGAAGGCGGGAAACTTACCTGGGACAGGTGTTTTTCGTTAATTCCACTATTTTGGTTCTTACTAAAATAAGAAAAAAAGTGCTGAGTATGTTCTACGGCTGAATGGAGTGTCAGAGGGTCACAATGGACGGAAAAAAAAGATTTACTGTAGGCAGAGAAGGATTATGGTTTGTACGCCTGAAAAGGGGCGAGAACTGAGAGAAGATAAAAAGGGGGAAAGTACGAGTAAAAGAATCACAAAAAAAATAGAAAATGTCAATGACAGGACAAAAAAGAAGAGCAAAGAAAATATGAAAGAAGAAGTTAAGAGCGAATAAATAAAGACATAAAGGAAAAAAATGGGGAAAGAATAGAAACTCATAAAAGCAGCAGATACACAATACAAATACAAGTTAATGGGAGGCAAGAGTGAGAGAAATAAAGAAAATAAAAAGTGATGGGAAGGTGAAAAGAATAAAGGAAAAAAAATTAATCTAATGGTGAAGAAGAAGAAGAAGAAGAAGAAGAAGGAGGAGGAGGAGGGCAGCAGCAGCAAGAGTATTATAAATGTATTGATGGTGGGTTAATTCAAATAAATTTTTTTTATCTAGCCTCATATGTGCTTAAGAGGAATTTTTAGTATATATGCAAGGACTCAAGACTTCGGATATTTAGTTCTAAAGGTTCTTTGGATCCGGAAATGTAACACACACACACACACACACACACATAGACTTGTGTGTATGTGTGTGTGTTTGTGTGCGTGTGTGTGTGTGTCCGTGCCTTACATCGGAATTAAAATGTTTAATAAGCTGTCCAAAGTTATTTTGCTTTGTGACATACGAGAACATTTGACTGTCACCTTCATTTGCGAAAATAGAGAGATATGATGTGATACATTTGAATGGCATTCAGTCGTTTTCTTCTCGCGAGCTTGCGTAAACGAATGAAATAATGGTTAGATGTGATAACAAAAAAGATCAAATTTATTAAGAGCTAAAACAGAATATGGAAAGCCATGAGCGCCAACATTCAAAGAACATGGCGCTAATCACACACAATTGCTGACAATGACTGGGACAGTCGAAAGTAACAAAAAAGAAACACAAACTTTGGACAATTTATCAACAATTTTAATACCGATGCAAAACCTTTCAGCCGGAAATTGGAATGACAATATAAAAAAAAATAAGAGTCAGAACTTGGTGGTCTTTTAATAAAGCTTGTTTAGATATATATTTTCTGTTGATACGTAAGTTTTATGGATACAATTTATTTAAGTAAATGTCCTGTTGTTGTTTTGTTTTTGTTTTTTTTTAAATTAAACACTATTAATTACCTTTACAGACCCGAATGTTCGAGAAATTTCAGAGAAAATAAGCGTTCTCAGACATGAATCTAACCTGTATTCGTATACGGAAATTGTCATTTGATCTGAGGTGCTATACCATTGAGCTACAGAGAAGAGTTTTGTTAGCAAAGTCTTAATTACAGTTTTTAAACACACAATCTTCGACGATTTTTCGCAATCGATAATATCACCTGACGAAACGTATCTTAACGTAAACAAGGACAACATACCATGAAATGCATCAAGTCCGATTATATATATATATATATATATATATATATATATATATATATATATATATATATATATATATATATATATATATATCAAAATTTCCAGCGACTTATATCTATCTATCTATCTATCTATCTATCTATTAAGCAAACTGTATCTTGTCTTATGTGTATATGCTCGCGTGTATGGATCTACTCATCTGTCAAAAACATTGTTACAGATATCTATCTATCTATCTATCTATCTATCTATCTATCTATCTATCTCCTCTAGTTTTTCATATCTATGTATGTATGTATCTATCCATCATAGATTTTCATATCTATCTTCGATTTTTATATCTAGCTTAGATTTCCATATGTATCTATCTATCTCTCTATATATCTATCTATCTACGATTTTCATATCTATCTTAGATGTTCATATCTATCTTAGATGTTCATATCTATCTTAGATTTTATATCTATCTATCTATCTATCTATCTATTAAGCAAGCTAGCTAATTGTAACTTGTCTTTTGTGTATGTGTTCGAGTGTATTGATCTACACATCTTTCAAAAACATTTTAACTGATATCTATCTATCTATCTCTCTATCTATCTATCTGTCTGTCTGTCTGTATACCCTAGTTTTTCATACATCTCAATCAATCTATCTATCCCAGTCTTTCAATATCTATCTATATCTTTTTATTGCCATATATTTTACGAGCTTGCTAGCTAAAGCCATCTTCTTATAATTCTTTCCCTATTGTTTCAGCTGCATGGCTTTTCGTATTCGTTGGCAGGGGAGAAGTAGCGAAGAAACGTGGTCTATAATAGATGCGAATCTCTCTCCATTTATTGCAAGTTTTCTATTTAGATGTTCCTGTATTATTTCACATCTTTATAAATTCCCGCTGTTTTCTTCCATTTGCACCTGCTCCTTTCCCCTCTCGAATCTTCCTATCCATTCTCTTACCTTCCTTCATTCCTTTTTCTATCTATCTATCTATCTGTCAGAGTCTGTTCATTATCTATCTATCAATCTATCTATCTATCTATCTATCTATCTATCTATCTATCTGTCAGAGTCTGTTCATTATCTATCTATCTATCTATCTATCTATCTATCTATATATCTATCTATGTCGGTTTATATCAAAGTATGTTCATATCTATCTATCTATTACACTAAAATTAATATATGTCTATGTATCTGTTACAGTCTGTTAATACCTATCTATCTATCTATCTATCTTTTACAGCCTGCTAATATATATGAACTTTGAGATAACAACAAAGTGATGAAGACAATTATCCGCTTTACTTAGTGCAAATAAAGATATCTCCTCATCTCAAAAATAAAAACAAAAATATATAAATATGTACTCTCTCTCTCTCTCTCTCTCTATATATATATATATATATATATATATATATATATATATATATATATATATATATATCCCTCTGTCTGTCTGTCTCTAATCTCTATATACATATATATAAGCTAGTTTTAAATGTCACTCTACCTATTTATCGATATACCTTTTTTTATATCATAGGTTTCTATCTTTGTATCAATCTTGATGAAGACAAATATCCGTTTGTAAGTAGTGCAAGTAAGGATATCTCCTCATTTGAAAATACAAACAGATAATATGTATCTATCTACCTTAGTTTTACATATCTCCCTCCCTCTGTCTGTCTGTATATCTCTTTCTCTCTCTCTTTATATATATATATATATAAATGTCTATCTACCTACTTATCTATATGTCTTTCGTTCTCTCTTAATTTTCTATCTATGTATCAATCTTCCCTACTTTTTCATATCTATCTATCTATCTATCTATCTATCTATCTACTCTAGTTTTTCATATCTATGTATCTATCTATTTTTTCATAATTATTTATCTGCCTATCACATTTAAATTCTCAGTAATAGGACAAATATGATTATTCGCCGTACTAAGGAAAATAAGACAAGAATTGAATCTTTGATTATTTAATATTACATTTTTTTTTCAGTTACTCTTAGACATTCTGTATTATATAAGCCCACTTTCTCTTCCTGTAGTAAGACCTTACAGTTTCCTCTGCGATGTGTGAGAAACTTCTTAAGAAAAATTCGGACAGTCCTTTCGAGACCCCAAGTTAACTTCATAGTTCGACCAACTCTGTTGATATGGTGTAAATTGCGTGCAATATATCTTTGGGGTTCTTACTCCATCAAGATTCAGCCTGCTTGAGATGCATCCATAATTACCAATAATCTTATTTGCTACTTTCACTTCCCAATAAAAAAGGCGAAGATAAGGATTTTTGCCCTGGACTCAACACAATCTTCTTAATTGTAATTTCTTCAATTTTGACTATACGCAGTGCGAAGCATCGTAAATGTCTCAGGTTTCCTGATATACCAGGGGCGTTTTGCGGAACATACCTAATCTTTAGGCGGGCACCTGTCCTTGTTCAACTGCTTGCGAAAGCTTGCATTGTTTCAGCTGCTCAGATTTTCGCATTCAGTGAAAAATGACAGCAACAAAGGAGAAACGCCATGAATTATAAATGGGATTTTCTCTTCTCCTATTGCAGGATTTGTCTTTAGATTTTTTTTTTACGCCTTCTTTTGCTTATTTTTCAAACTTTCACCAGTTTACTCTCTTTCCTGAAGCCTTTATTTTTCCACACTTCACACAGAAACACACATACATATATGTATATATATATATATAGAGAGAGAGAGAGAGAGAGAGCGAGAGAGAGAGCGAGAGAGAGAGAGGAGGTACGGTGGAGTAATGGATACCGGCTTGGATTGAGGAATCGCAGAGCCGAGTTCCAATTCCAGTCGAATCCATTACATTCCACTTACGTGCTAATACTCTTGGGAAAAGTATGAATCCTCTTCTTCTCCCTCCAGCTATGGGTAAAATAGCAGGACAGACTGAGTTCTATAGCCTTGGATGGCAACTAGTCTAGGAGACGGACAACTCTGAATTCAAAACCTGCGGAGCGTCGTTTGGGACCTCGTGGCACTTAGTGCACCAGGTCTCTGTATTCGTCCCTTCAAAAAGTGTCCTGCACGAAGCCTTCACCACTATAATCAAATCTCATGTGCCGGTGTCGGGCTGTCGGTTTCCTGGAAACTGATCTGCTTAACCCTCATACGTCGAGTTCGACGGGAGAGTCGACTATATGTTTATGTGTCTCTGTGTGTGTGTGAGTGTGTATTAAATAGAAAATTTTAAAATATACAGTTTTCTGCATTATTTCCATTATTCGGACTATTCTCCTCATCTTTGTCGCCATATTTATCACAACGTTTCGCCTGTTGTACGCTCCGGCCTTCTTCAGGAGGTTGGAATGTCGAACTGAACCCTTTATTTCGCTCACTGGGGTAGACCGTTCTAGTTCCACGTGCCATGTTTGAGGGATGTCAGTTATCAGTTATTTCCTGCTAATTTCCCTCTGAAAGTCCTCCACTGCCTTAACCGGGTATTGAACTCATACTCTTTGTGTCCTGTCACTGGATCTAACCAGCGCCTTTATCCACCGAGCCATGTATCCTTGAATAAAGGGTTCAGTTCGAAATTCCAACTACCTGAAGAAGGCCGGAGCGTATAACGGCCGAAACGTTTTGATAAATATGGCAGCAACAAAGATGAGGACAATAGTCCGAATAATGTAAATAATGTACATAATACCTCATCTCATAAATATAGACATACAGTTATATATATATATAAATGAACATTGAAATCAACACTTAGAGGCGATAGGCTGTTTCATGCTAGACGCAATCGTCAGTGTGGCTAGATATCAAGTTCAGACATGGCACGTGGAACTAAAACAGTCTACCCCAGCGAGAGAAATAAAGGGTTCAGTTAGACATTCCAAACACCTGAAGAAGGCTGGAGTGTACAACCGCCGATACGTTGTGATAAATATGGCGAAAAAGATGAGGACAATAGAACGAATAATCTAAATTATGACATAATTTATTAATTTTCTTCGAAATATGTTTTCTTTAGTTTTGCTTATGGGTAACAGTTGTTTAATCGTTGGAGCCGTGAATTGGTGGTATTTTGCGCAGTAGTAATTTGGTTTCATGTCGCTATTTAGAAAGGATTTAAGATTTAGTTTTAACAATTTATTTTGCAGTTGAATGGTTGTTGATATTTTAGCGAAAGAAGGTGGAAGGATTTGGCGCTTCGTTGAAAGCTGAAGCTCTTTGTCTTATTTCCCATATTATGTTGGCTTTTGATTGTGATTTTGAGATTTTATATGCGTTTTAAGAATGTTGTACAATTTGCATATCTTCTGTTAAATAAATATGATTAAAATAACTCCGCTGTCTATATGAGTTAGGTTTGACTTGAATCTTATAGTAGCTTAGTACATTAGAGAGGTTTTTAGGCTGTAGGCGGTTCGTGGTATTTGAATATTTTCTTTCAGGTACAGGTGTGAATTTATCAGTATGTGTGATATACTGGAGTAGCAGATATTCTAAGAATCTGTGAAGTTACAGAAATGCAAATCACTATGAATGATTTCTGTTATACAGTATATATATATATATATATATATATATATATATATGTGTGTGTGTGTGTGTGTATATATATATATATATATATATATATATATATACATATAAATGCATGCATGTATGCCTGTGTGTATGTGTGTGTGTAAAAATATTGCAAATGAAATAGAATTTGCAGCTCGTGAGTGGGTGATATTTTAATAAAAATTATGCTTTTATGGCACTCCTTCGCCCCCTATCAAAATTGGGGTTACCTCAAGGATCGGCTTAAAATAATGTTATCCCACATTAGGAAGGAAGGAAGAAAGACAGGCGAGGAAATTGAAGTTGCTGTAGGAAACAAAAAACTGACTGAAAAATCTACAATAATAAATCAGGATTTAACTCTGTTCGCCTCTTTCTGTGAGCAACTTAAATCATAAATATAATTAATTTTTCCATTTATATATATATATATATATATATATATATATATATATATATATATATATATATATTCCGCTGTCTTTTCCACTAACGTGATGAATATTCATCAGCAATCGTATATTATACATTTTGAGAAAACCTATAAAAATTTTGCACTTGTATATACGCACTTGTCACAAAATAAAATCTATACATTTGCCTTGATAATATCTATCAGTGAGCTTATCGCTTCGGCTAGGATAATTTTTTCTTTATTTTTCCCTCTCTCTCTCTCTCTCTGTCTCTTTCTAACATCATTTTAGTTCGATACACACACACACATATATATATATATATGTGTGTGTGTATGTTTGTATACTTAATAACTCTGTTATATTACAACGAGTACTATTTTATTATCAGGATCACTCAATGTGCGATATCTGATATATATATATATATATATATATATATATATATATATATTGAACTAAAATGATGTTTACGTCTATCTAAGGTGACGGGAAGCTGAAACTGTAAACATTCAAAATTAATATTTCCTCACAAAACACACACACGCGCATATATATATATATATATATATATATATATATATATATATATATATGAGATATCGGACATCGGGCGTGGGTGTTCATAAAATTTTGCACGATGTAATATAATAGAGCTATATATATATATATATATATATATATATATATATATATATATATATATATAATGTATTATGGAAAAAACGTATCCGGTTCATTAATTAGAACAAAAGGTACTTTTGTCGACTTTAAATTTTTCAGACAGCTTAACAGATTTAGCATTTCGCTACACTCCCCATCTGCCATCTTTCAAGCCATTTCATAATTTCATTCAGGCATAACTTTTCATCTTTCCAGAAGAAATTCTAAATCTCGTTGGCTTTTGATATTCTCCCGAGAATTCGATTTACTCATTAAGTCGTTTTTCCGTAAAATCTGAAACCGTCCGGTAGACATATAACAGTGACATTTAACGTCAGTATAATATAATCAATATAAGCTCTACTATGAGAATAAATGTCAAATTTGCCATGGAGACAGCGCTGCTTATCAGGAATGACAAGAGGCCAATTTAAAATAATCTATTTAGTCCCTAAAATTATTCTGTCAATACTGAACAGATATTAGTTCATTAAAAATGTTTGGCTGCTAAGAATATGTTCATATGATCCATTAAATTATAAACACGTTCATTTTTTTTTGGATGCTATAAAATTCCCAACGGCACGAAAATCACTTGTTCGTTTGAGTTAATTATAACGGAAAAATAATGTCTGTAAGC